TACTCAGCTCTGCCCGGAGTACCCCACAATTCAAACAGAAGCACTGCACCCCTCCATCCCCGTGTGGCAGCGGGAGAGTGTCAGCCCTTGTGAGGGGTGAGTGTGCAAATGGGTAATGGGAGAACTACCAGTATCTCCTGTGGGCCCACAGAGAGGCTCTCTCCCCTTGTGCCCTAGGACTAGAGCATAATCCCCCACCTAGAATGCTGCTTCCCCGTGGATCCTGACTGCTCCAGCTGGGCCGTGCTGCCAGGTGCTGCCAGTCTTAGTCCTGCTTCGTGCTGCCTCGTCTCCCTGACAACATGTTGTCCTCCTGCAAAATAGGAACCGGGTGCAGAAATGTTAATGACTCGCTCTGGCTCCCACAACTAGTGCTGGGTGGTAAAGAGACTTAAACCTTTCTCTTTTTTTTTTTTTTTTGAGTTTTGGTTCACACCAGGCGATGCACAGGTGTTACTCCTGGCTCTGCACTCAGGAATTACTCCTGGCAATGCTCAGGGGACCATATGGGATGCTGGGAATCGAACCCGGGTTAGCTGCGTGCAAGGCAAATGCCTTCCCCGCTGTGCTATCGCTCCAGTCCCAAGAGACTTGAACCTTTTGAAATCTGAGTCCAGTGCCCAGGCTGACAACCCTAGTTAGTGGTTTCCAGTGCTTTATCCCACTTCCTCTTCTCATTTCTTTAATTAAATGCATTCATCCAAACCCAGCAAGAGCTCAGAACCTAAGAAACAGCAAGCTGGTATTTAAACCCCGCTCATCACAACACTCTTCACTCACCCTCCTCCTAGAGGGACAATTGCAGGAGGCCACTGTTCCTCCTGACTTTGTGCTGGTTGAGCCTTCTCCCCTCCCCCACCCCCACACCAGTATCTCAGTCAATAATTACAATGATCCTTGAGCATCCTCTTAGACCAGCTTCTCCCCCAACACTGCCCAAACCTCGGTGCCATTCGCAATTTGGCCACAAAAACCTTTCCAAAGGTTCAAAGAATTTCGTATTCCAAGCTGGCACTTGCCTGCTGTACTTCTCAGTGGATCTGACTTCTTTTTTTTTTTTATCTTTTTTAAAAATTTTTATTAGTGAAACATCAGTTGTAGGTTTACAAATTTTTGTGCTTGGGTTTCGATTATACAATGATCAAATACCCATCCCTCCACCAGTGCCCATTTTCCACCACCATGGGGTCCGACTTCTTTCCCTCTCTGCATATAGGATCCTACATGGACAGTGGATAGTGTCATTGCATGGATGAGTCAAGGTCCCTTTCACCAGGCTGCAGCCAGCTCTGAAGCTCCTATATTCTTATCAGATATTCTGCAGACTCCCCACGAAGAGACCTCCTATATGCAAGGCCTTCCTTTCTCCCTGGTCTTGTTGCTTTGCAACCTTCTCTCCTACACTTGAATCTCTGATGTCCTTCCACTTTGGAATGGTCATTATGGGAATGAGTACTTGTGGACATTAACAGCTTCCCTGTCCCGTCCCCCAGGGCAAAGAGACCTTCCCACTTAACTTTACCTCCGAAGATGACTCCTGCATAAATCAAATTTCCATTAATTGGATTCAACACTTGGACTCAGTTTATTTTTCAAAGGGTTTCTATGCCAAATCTTTTTTTCAAGGACATAATCCTCTCTTGGATACTATAAGTGGTTTTCTCTTATCTCATGTGCCCAGAGGCCCACATGCACACTTGGCCACACACACATACATGTCATCTGCCCTGTTTGTTGAGACCTTAGTTACACAGATTCTGTATCCAAACAGGGCCCAGTGTCAGAGAGATGATAGCCCAGGGCTAAGCACATGCCTTGCCTGCAGGAGATCTGAATTTGATTCCCAGAACCACATAGTTCCAAAAACACCATCGGGAGCACAAAGCTTGGAGTAGCCCCTGCACATCCCCAAACACAGAGCCAGGGGTAGCCTCTGAGCACTGCCGGGTGTTGTATATGTGGGACATAGAAATCCAGCATCTTTCCTCATAGCAGCTGTAAAACAGCACAGCTATGGCCACAGGATAGTCACACATACTCACATTTGTGGGTGTACAAGAGTTTGAGGCAATGGATAGAAGGTGAAAGCTCTTTTCTGAGTTTGAGGGATGGCTTGGAGGGAGTTGGACGACATCTGGTTCTGCCCAAGGTTTTCTCCTGGCTCTATGCTCAGGAATCACTCCTGCTAGTGCTCAGGGGACCAATCATATGTGATGCCAGAAATCAAAAATTGTTCAACTGCATGCCAGGCAAGCACATTACCCCCTGTGTTATATCTCCTAGTCACGAACTCTTTACTGTTGATTCAGTGGCCACCAGGTTAGATTCTGATGTGCTCTGGGAAGTGTCCCCCGAGGCCAGCCCTAGAAGATTCTGGCTCCCAAAAGCTATTAGGTCATAATTTGTCCTTGGACCTCCTTTTTCTAGATAGAATCAGAAACAGGAAAGGGAAGGAAGAAGGAAACATCAAATATTTTTCTGGCGTCTCTGACAGGTGGGCACCATGACTTTTAGTCATCTCTATATAGATTCTAGATAGCAGAATAAATCCAAATTGGCACAGATCTCAGATCCCAGGAAAGGGGTGTCTGGGGGAGCGGCAGCCACGCATGTGAGAAGCTGCCTCCTGTTCCTCCCTCGTCCCTCCTAGTCTCCCAGATTTTCAGACAAGCTGGAGAGGGCTGTTTCCAATTTGCTTCCTGGAATTCAGGGGGGGCCTGGAGTGTTTTACATTAGAGCTTGTCATTCCCATCACAGCAGATTTTCAGCAAGCTTCATCTTCAAGCAAGCACCCCAGCCCAGTCCTGGCCCTTCCTTCCCTTTAAATCCCAAACATGGGAGAATTGCCAGTCAGGTCAGGCACGAGGTGTCCTCCACAATCTGGACGTAGACTCCCTCCAAAATACCCCCAGGTGCTTGCCTACTGCTGGTTCTCTGCAGTGGATGGCAGCACTAGTTTTAAACAAGGCTCTTTGCCTTCTGTGTTTTGTGTTTCACCTCCCCACAACACACCGAAAGGACGAGTCAGGGAAGCATTACCATCTCCATTTTCCAGGAGAGGAAATGAAGGCCCCAGAGAAGAGAAATTCTTTTTCCTCACATGATGAGGCCGGAGTGGCAGTACGGCAGGTAGGGCACTTGCCTTGTATGTGGCCAACCTGCCTTCAATCCCCAGAATTCCATATGGTTCCCCCTCAAGTCGGCAGAAGCGATCCTGGAGTGCAGAGCTGGGAGTTTAGCCCTAAATACCATTGAATATGGCCTCAAAATAAAAAATATGGCCACCTTATGAGAAGGAACCAGGGGAAAGATAGTACAGGTACTAAGGCACTTGCTTTGCACCTGCTGAACCCAGTTCTGGCTCCACAGCACAGCCAGAAATCACTCCTGAGCACAGAGCCAGAAATCTCCCCGGAACACCACTGGGTATTGCCCAAAATAGAAAGAATCAGGCCTCTCGAGTGCTGAATCCATCCCTGTCATTACGCTGGTGTGGCTTGTTCACCTACATGCTTGCTTCAGTCTTTCTAACCTATTCCTCTTTGGGAGGATGCCCCTGCCCCGTGGCCACTGAGCAGCTATGTGTATGTGAGGCGGGCAGTGAGCAGGATCCCAGGGACACGAGAGCGATCACAACTGATAGGACCTTCATTCCAAAGGGGAAAACCCAAGAAACAAACATGTCACGACAAATTGGACCAAGTGGTTTGAAGAGAAGACCAGGATGATCCAAGCAAATGAGCAGAAATAGGCAGTATATATAGTCGTGGGTGGGACACTTAATGACCAGGACCCACACAGAGGAGCGTGTCCCTAAGTGATTTCACCAAATGACAGATCTGGATGACAGAGCCCACATAAGCTGTGAGGTGCAGGCTACGGAACCACCATTACTGAGCAGACTTAGATCCTGGGGTGGATCAGGCTTCTCTGAGCCGATTACACTAAACCCAGACTGAGGGCTTCAACAGCAGGAGTTAGGAGTGAGGAGCACTTTCTACAGAGTTCTCTCTCCAAGTGTCGAATGTGCCTGGAGCCAAACATAGGGCTGGGAGATGTGATTGCACGGGCCATGGGGGTGGGCATGTTTTAGTTCCAGCTAAATAGATTGGGGAGGGGGGAGGTTCTGGCTGTTTATTCCCCGTATGCATTACCACGCAGGTCAGTGGGTGGGGACCCAACACCCACAGCTCAGATCATGGCAACCTAATTTAAATCTTGCTGCCTGGGAGGGGAGGTTGTTCAGAACTAGACTCGGCTGCCCTGCTCAAGGGTCCCTGGGGTTCCAAGTAAAAGACTACCTTTGGGGGAGGTCAGCCAGAGCCGGAAGTCCTTCCTACATTACAGTCTGGGTAGATGAACCAAGGGGGATACCCTGTCCTCGGGATCAGGGGCAGAAGCAGGAGGAAAAGGCTCTGTCCTGGGTGGGTGTTGGGCCAGGACGCTGTAGTTCTTGGTATTCTCCTCGAACACGAGCATTTATGAATTATTAGCTGTTTAACTGACACATGAGAAGCCCGGACCGGGTAAATTAAAACCCGGCATAAGTACTTCCTCTGGGTTTAGAATCTTATGATTTACCATGTGTGGGGGGATAACCAAATTAATATTTTTCCCCTGCAGCAGGATGGCGACAAGGCAACCTTCCCCCGTTTAACGCACAGCAGAAAACGACGATTTAGGAGCTAAGTGAGGCGAGGAAGGATGGCTAGAACAGATCTCGGAGGTGCACCTCCTAGAGGTAAAAGATTCTGCAAGCCTGCACTGGGAGGTGTGGGAGGACTGGGCCTCGGCTCTTGGAGGGTTGGAAGGGAGAACGGTTCTGTCTGGTTTGGGTTAGAACAGCGGGGAAGGGAGAAAATGTATTTGAATCCAAGGGAAGCCCTGCCCTTTGGATCTAGGCCACAGCCTTGTTTTTTTCTCTGCAGTGGCTTTTCCGCAGGCAGACTCGAGGTCTCAAACATTCGTGAATTAAGCAAATATTTCACGAGCACACGGTGTGTGCAAGAAAATTGGAAGTTCGTGGAATATGGCAGGTAATCAGCAAGGCACCCTGCACACGAGGGGTGGCCTTTCGGTTGGAAGACCAGGACCCAGGAATCAGGTAAGCAGGGCCAGCTGGTGTCTGGCTTGGAGAAACTGTAAGTAGGAGTCTGGGTCCTGAGGGCATGCAGTTGCCTGTGAAGAAAGGACTTAAATGCTGATATTTAAGGCTGAGGAGTCAGCTTGGCCTAAGGTGGGGCCACCCCAGGCTGTTCCGGAGCTGGATTGGAGTGGGCTGACCAGAGGATGCGGGGCTAGGGTGGAGGGTGAGGGGAGCTGGGGGTGCTGCTCTCCCCATCCTTAGGACCAATCTGGGATTCAGATGTTTGCTTTTTGCAGCCAGCAGCCTCTGGAGCAAGCCCCACCAGGATGTGATGTGGCTGAGATGTTTTTAAGTTTTAAACAATCTCCCAGCTGAAGCCAGCAGGGGCCTGGTGGGCAGCCAGGAGCTAGAGGCCAAGGAAGAGGCCCTTGGAGGAACTGGAAGGAGCTTGCAGGCCTGGGGTGCACATGTGCTTCCCTGGTCTTTTGGATCAGCACCTGGGAGGACCCCGTTAACACTGCAGGGGGACTGTGGTGGGAAGTTAGGGTCCAGGAGGCTACCCAGTACCATCACCTCAACTAAACCAAGCCTGGGCCTCTAGGAGGGCGGTTTTCCTCAAGCACTGATTCTCTTCAGTATTCTGAGGGGGGAGGAAAAACATCACTTTTCCAGTTTGTGTATGTGTGTGTCTCTGTGTGTGTGTGTGTCTGTGTGTGTGTATGTGTGTGTAAAATAAGATGAGCTACCAAAGAAATGTGTCTCTTACTATGGGTAGTGCTGGCTTAGGTTCAAGTTCTCTTCTGGAAAGAGACATTTAAGAGCAAACATCTAAGAAATGCTGACGGAATGGAAAACGTTTGGCCATCAGGGTCAGCCAAAACCAAGTTCAAATATAACTTCTGCCATGAACTAGTTGTGTAAACATGAGCGTATTATCCTCTCTGTGCTTCAGCTTCTCTTTCTAGAAAACAGGACATACAATATGAGAAGACCACCAAGGTGCCATCGGTGTGTCGAGAGCCCCTTGCTCCCCGAGTGGTTGACTTGGGACAAATACTTTTGGAGCTCTGCATTCACTTCTGAAAGATGGAACAATGGGTTTCCCACCTTCATAGGATTTATGGTGATCTTCATATAATTTGGGTGCAAAACTTCTCACATAGATGACCAGTCAAATCTGTTTGCCTCTGCCTCAGTTTCCCAGTCTGTAATGGAAGGGTTTGGGATAGTTTGTCCATCTGCCCAAGTTTTTCTACAAGATTGGGGATTTAAGTTGTCTGATTCCCCTAGACTGCCTCTTCCCTCCCCCAGGTTTTGTTGCCAGAGGGTGAGAGGTGACTCATCAGGAGGAGCACTGGGAACAGGGTAATTTGGAGCCTGTTTTTCTGGGAGGTGCCCTGGAGAGAAGGAGATGTTTCTCTCCTTTTGGATAGATTTGGAAGCAGAACTCCATCCCTCAGCTGTTAGCCTTTACCCAAACAGACCCTGTCTCCAGCTGCCGGGAGTGTGGGAACCACTAGGCTCCAGCTCTGAGAAATCCCTTCCTCCCTGAGCATTCCAGAACCCAGCCCTGGTCCAGCTGTCACTGAGACCGCCCCCCTGTTGTCCAAAGAGGCTGGTGCTGGGACGGGAGAGCAGCAGGCCCTCTCTCTGTGAGGACAGGCGTGGTGGAGAGAGCTGAGGTCCGAAGAGAGGGGAGTGGTAAGCTGGGACAGATGACCCCCTTCTCTTTTCCTCTCTCACCCAGCTGCCTGTTTCCTGCCCGTCTTCATCTAGCTCTCTGTGGGATTCCTCTGCCTGGGTGAGCAGCTTGCACCCACTTCCTTCCCGCCTCTCTCCCTGGTCCAAAATATTTGCAGACTGTAACTTTGCAAACCATTTCAAATCTACTTGAAGAATCTGGTTTCTTTTCCAGAATCCTGATGGGTCTCAGCTACCCAGCAACTCAGCCCAGTTTTTCAAGACTCTCCTCAAGTAGACAAAGAGGACCTGGGCCAGGGGTGGGGGTGGGGGTGTTCAAAGCATCTGAAGCACAGTTTTCCAAGTGCATCATGCACATAACAGGTAACACGATTGTCAGGCTGGCTGCAATCTCTGCTGTTTATGCAACCTGTTTGGAGCACAGATTTATGGCGTCAGTAAAATTAATAGGATAAATGCATTATCAAATATATCATACCTATTTATCCTATGGACCAGCCACCACCATAGGATAAATAGGTATGATATATTTGATAATGCAGAGATGCAATCCTAGTTTCTTAAAGGATTGGAGCACATGCTTTACATGCATCAGTCCTTGGCCCCATGTAGTACCCAGAGCACTGCAGGGAGCACTCCCCAAGCACTGTCAGGTACGATCCCCAAATCTGGCCCTCCCACAAAATAAATAAAACAGAAAATAGTGATATAGATAGCTCAACAAATGAAAATACTATATTAGTTTCCTTAGTAAGAATATGTTTGGAGGGGCTGGAGAGATAGCACAGCGGGTAAGGCGTTTGCCTTGCACACGGCCGACCTGGGTTCAATTCCCAGCATCCCATATGGTCCCCTGAGCACCGCCAGGAGTAACTCCTGAGTGCAGAGCCAGGAGGAACCCCTGTGCATCGCCAGGTGTGACCCAAAAAGAAAAAAAAAATATGTTTGGAAAAAATAATAATAAAGGAAGTACAACAGTGTTTAGTTCAGCTATAAGCAATAGTTTTAATCATTCAGAATGAACTTTTATGTAGTCAAAAATTGTATTTCATTAAATTAAAAAATGTTTAGGTGTTAAAAAATTATATTTTAGCTGCATGACAGGTCAGAAACAAGACTGGAGTGATATTACATGAGGTTAAATCCCATCTTTCATAAAAGAAATTCAAATGGCTTGGTTTTTTTTGTTTGTTTTATTTTTTATTTTTTGCTTTTTGGGTCACACCTGACAATGCACAGGGGTTACTACTTCTGGCTCTGCACTCAGGAATCACTCCTGGCTGTGCTCAGGGGACCATGTGGGATGCTGGGAATTGAACCTGGGTCGGCTGAGTGCAAGGCAAATAGCGCTGAGTACCCACACTGTACTATTGCTCCAGCCCCATTTTGATTTGTTTTGTTTTGGAACCACATCTGACATTGTTCAGAGTTTATTCCTGGCTTTGTACTCAGAAATTACTCCTGTACGTTCAGGGGACCATATGGGATTCCATGGATAGAACTTGGGTCAGCCATGGATAGAACTTGGGTCAGCCCCATGAAAGGCAAACATCTTACCTGCTGTGCTACTGCTTTGGCCCCTCAAATGGTCATTTTTAGGAGAGGTGTGTAACTCAGGTGAAAGACCTTGCATTCTTGCCCAGGAACAGCTTGAATGTGGCCTTCACCATAGTAAACTTTAAAATAAAAAAATAAAAAACAACCAGTATTAATTAGAATTTAAAAAATATAATTAGTTCTGTTGGGCTGGAGCGATAGCACAGTGGGTAGGGCAGCACAGTGCGTAGGGCGTTTGCCTTGCACGTGGCTGACCCGGGTTCGATTCTTCCGTCCCTCTCGGAGAGCCCGGCAAGCTACCGATAGTATCCCACCCGCATGGCAGAGCCTGGCAAGCTCCCCGTGGCGTATCCGATATGCCAAAAACAATAATAAGTCTCACAATGGAGATGTTACTGATGCCCGCTCAAGCAAATTGATGAACAATGGGAGGACAGTGCTACAGTACTAATTAGTTCTGTTCTTCGAATGATCCAAGTTGGACATTGCCGCCATGGTTCCAGAGCAGGGAATACATACTCTGCATTGGTATAATTGTGTTTGTTCGGGACATGGGGTTTTGTTTTAGGGGGCAGTTTTTAAAAAATTTTCTTTGGGGGCCACAATTGTATGTGCTCAGTATCACTCTGGTGGCCATATGTTCTCAGGGACTGAAACAAGCTCTAGGCATGCAAAGCAAGCGTTTACTCACTTTACTATCTCTCCATTCATTGTTTCGCTGTTAGCTTTTAAGCACAGTGCTTGGACAGTATTGGGCTCACACACTAAATTTTTGTTTAATAAAGCATATGCATACAATTTCATAAATGCTACTAAAATCATCTTCATCAGGAAAGAGAAAAAGAAAAACGTTAATGTGACATGACTCAACTTCTTTTTAAATTTTCTTTTAACTTTTTTTTCTTGCGGTGCTGGGGATTGCAGTCAGAGCCTCCTGCTTGCTAGGCATGTGCTTGAGCTATTTCCTTTTGCCTCTAGAACCCCATTTTGGTCTTCCACTTTTTTTAGGGGAGACACACAGCACTGCTTGGAAGTCGTTGCTAACTTGGTACTAATGCTGGGGTGAGCTCGGGGTGGGCTGAGGGAACGGCATCTTAAGCTAGTACATGTGGAGTATGCAGTCCATCCCCTTAAGCTATCTCCCCATCTCCCCAGCCCCCTTACTCGTTATTTTTTAAAGTGTTTGGGCCAAGTGCTGGAGAGATAGCACAGTGGGTAGGGCGTTTGCCTTGCACGTGGCCGACCCATGTTTGATTCCCTGCATCCTATATGGTCCCCTGAGCACTGCCAGGAGTAACTCCTGAGTGCAGAGCCAGGAGTAACCCCTGTGCATCGCCGGGTGTGACCCAAAAAGCAAAAAAAAAAAAGTGTTTGGGCCACATGCGGTGTGCAGCGTTGCTCAGGGTTTACTCCTGGCAGTGCTCAGGGGATCATATGGGGTGCCAAGTCTGGAGCAAGCAGGCAAGAGCCCTACCCTACCTACCGTACTCTCTCTCCATCACCACCCCCAACCCGCCTTTACACTTTCTGTAATGTAGATGAAATACCAGGCGAAATAGCAGGACGATTTTGGAGCTGGGAGTTTGGTTCAGGTTAAGGATAGGTGGGGCTAGAGGTGACAGTGGTGACAGTTTCTCACCGAAAGCCTCTGACAGGCACCCGACTTAATCCAGGAGAAGCCCCACTGCCGGCCAGTGCTCAAGAGTGACCCTTGGGGCTGGGCTCTGGGGACCATTTGTAGTGTCTGGACTAGCAACATGCAAGGTGCGTGCCTTACCTCCTCTCTGGCGGCACATGCCAGGAATTTTGGTCCAAAACTCATGGTGGAGAGTTGAGCGCCCAGATGAGAGGCCCCGAGCACAAGGCCTGCTGGCTCACTCACCGGATGTCAGAGGCGCACGGGGAAGGGGGCGCTGGCGGGGCCCGGTGTCAGTCAGACCCACATGGTGAAGGGGGCGCTGGAGGGGCTCTGGGGGTCAGTCAGACTGCACAGGGAAGGGGACTCTGGCAGGCCGGGATGTCAGTCAGACGGGTATGGTAGCTCTGGAGGGGCCCCTGGTGTCAGTCAGAACTGTCCGGGAAGGGGACTCTGACGAGGCCCCGGGTGTCAGTCAGACTTGCAGAGGGGACGGTAGCTCTGGCGGGATCCCAGATGTCAGTCAGACCTGCATGGGGAAGGGGGGGTCTGGCAAGCCCCGGAATGTCAGTCAGACTCACATGGGGAAGGGGCTCTGGTGGGTCCCCGGATGTTAGTCAGATCCGCACGGGGAAGGGGGATCTGGCCGGGGCCCTGGGTGTTAGTCAGACCCTCACAGGGTTGGTAGCTCTGGCGGCCCGATGTCAGTCAGACCTGCACAGGGATGGCCACTCTGGCGGGGCCCTAGATGTCAGTCAGACCCTCACGGGATGGCAGGCCTGGTAGCCCCAGGTGTCAGTCAGACTCAGGGGGATGGTAGCTCTGGTGAGTCCCTGGATGTCAGTCAGACCTGCACAGGGAAGGGGGATCTGGCGAGCCCCGGAATATCAGTCAGACTCGCACGGGGAAGGGGCTCTGGTGAGTCCCTGGATGTCAGTCAGATTCCAACCGGGGAAGGCGGAACTGGCTGGGCCCCGGGTGTCAGTCAGACCCACACGGGGATGGTAGCTCTGGCGGGCCCAATGTCAGTCAGACCTGCACGGGGATGGCGCTCTGGTGAGTCCCCGGATGTCAGTCAGACCCTCACAGGGACGGAGGGGTTTGGCGAGCCCAGGAATATCAATCAGTCAGACTCGCAGGGGGAAGGGGCTCTTGTGAGTTCCTGATGCCAGTCAGACCTGCACGGGGGTTGGCCGCCCTGGCGAGTCCCCGGCTGTCAGTCAGACCCTCACGGGAAAGGGGGATCTGGCGAGTCCCCGGATGTCAGTCAGACCCCCACAGGGACGGAGGGGTCTGGCGAGCCCCGGAATATCAGTCAGGCTAGTCAGGCTCGCACAGGGAAGGGGACTCTGGCGGGACCCCGGAAGTCAGTCAGACCCGCACTGCACGGGGATGGCAGCCCCGGTGAGTCCCCGGATGTCAGTCAGACCCGCACGGGGAAGGGGCTCTGGCGAGGCCCGGGGACCTGCTGGTGGCGACCCCCGCGGCGGCTGCCCGAAGCCCCCCATGCGGGACCGCAGCAGCGTGCGTGTCGCGCGGGGTGGCGCGTCTGTCCCCTGAGGGGCGCGTGGCCACTTCCGGCGGCGCGAGCCAGGCCCGCGAGGCCGCGCGGAGCCGCCTCCTTGGAGCGACGTCTCGGGGCGCCCGTGGCGCGACCCCCGGCCCCTCTCACGGCGTCCGTGTGTGCCCGCAGGTGGCCGTCATGCTGCCCTGGCTGCTGCTGGCCTGCGCCCTGCCATGTGCCGCCGACCCGCTGCTGGCCGCCTCCGCCCGCGGGGACCCCCACGAGGGCGCCCCTCAGCTCGTCTGCAGCCTGCCCGGCCCTCAGGGGCCCCCCGGACCCCCGGGAGCGCCGGGACCCTCGGGGACCGTGGGAAGAATGGGCTTCCCCGGCCAGGACGGCCAGGACGGCCCCGACGGGGACCCCGGGGACAGCGGAGAGGAAGGTAAGAGGGAGCCCCTGGGGGGGGAGGGCAGTTCCCGCTGATGGGGGGACTGGGGTGGGGGTGGGGGGGGGGTGACACTGTGTCACACACTGAGGGGAGTCATAAGCAAACGGGTCTTCTCCTAAGGGAAGGGAGGCCCCGCTGGATCCCACCACCGCTGCATTCTGGCTCTGCTAGGTGTGGTTAAAAAAATAAATAAATAAATAAATGAGGGGCTGGAGCCATAGCACAGCGGGGAGGGCGGTTGCCTTGCACGCGGTCGACCCGGGTTCGAGTCCCAGCATCCCATAGGGGTCCCCCCCCAGCACCGCCAGCAGTGATTGCTGAGTGCACGAGCCAGGAGGAATCCCTGAGCATCGCCAGGTGTGACCCAAAACGCAAAAATAAATAAATAAATAAATAAATAAAATAGAAAAATAAGTTAATAAATCTTAGACTATATTTACCAGCCCAACACCACCACCACCACAACAACAAACTGGCGTTGATCTCGTTCTGTTAGGAAACAAGTGTGTGTTTATTTAAAAACCCAGAGCAGGGGTTGGAGCGATAGCACAGTGGGTAGTGCGTTTGCCTTGCACGTGGCGGACCCGGGTTCGATTCCCAGCATCCCATATGGTCCCCCGAGCACCGCCAGGAGTGATTGCTGAGTCCATGAGCCAGGAAGAATCCCTGTGCATCGCCAGGTGTGACCCCAAAAGCAAAATAAATAAATATATTTTAGAATATATTGGGCTGGAGCGATAGCACAGCGGTAGGGCGTTTGCCTTACAAGTGGCCAACATGGCCGACCCAGGTTCGATTCCTCCGCCCCTCTCGGAGAGCCCAGCAAGCTACCGAGAGTATTCGATATGCCAGACACAGTAACAACAAAGTCTCCAATGGAGACGTTACTGGGCCCGCTCGAGCAAATTGACGATCAACGGGAGGGCCTTTACCTTTACCTTAGAATATATTACCAGCCTAACAACAACACAACAACAACCTGGCGTTGATCTCGTTCTGTTAGGAAACAAGCGTGTGTTTATTTAAAAAGCCAGAGCAGTGGCTGGAGTGATAGCACAGCGGGGAGGGCGGTTGCCTTGCACACGGCCCACCCGGGTTTGATTCCCAGCATCCCATATAGTCCCCTGAGCACTGCCAGGAGTAATTTTTGAATGCAGAGCTAGGAGTAACCCCTGAGCATCTCCGGATGTGACCTAAAAAAAAAAAAAGCCAGAGCAGTGCATTATTTAAAACCTACAGGAAGGAAGAGTGAGCACTAAATCTTGTGTTCCTGCCACAGAGGCTCCAGTGATGAAGGGAAGTCTCCTCAAATACTCACCATTTAATTGGGAGCAAATGATAAGAGGCATGCCCTCCCATTCCCTCCCCCATCCCTCCCCCCACCATTGGAATGTTATGTCCCCACCCGATGGAATTCACTGGCTCACATGACAGGAACTGCAGGATTCAGAAGCAGATGTTGCTGTCATGACTCTGTTTCTCACCCCTCACTGGGTTTTCACACCAAGACTGGAAATCCGGTTATGGCTATGCGGGGGCTGCGTGCCTTTCTCCAAAGAGCCAGTCTCAGCATAAACATCTTCCTTAAACATTTGGTTGTTCTAGACCTTTGCCAGCAGAGGTGATACCGCCATCTGATAGGATTGAGTCATGTGCCCTCCCCTGAGTGGGTGTGACTAGGTGGTGACAATCACTGGTCCCTGTGATTGACAGCCTCACTGGGCCCACATAATGTGGTAAAGGGCAGTGTTTCTCAGGCGGCATGCAGACACATTGAATTCTCTCTGCGGGCCTTCTCAGTCTTGACATTCCTCCTGCCCCTGAATACTTTTCACTTTTTACCTCAACTACTTTTTGCTGTTAGCAGAATCATCAAGTATACAGTTTTGTTTTATTTCTCATTAATGACTTTTAAAATAGTGTTAATAGGGGGCCGGAGTGATAGTACAGTGGGTAGAGTGCTTGCCTTGCCAGTGGGTAGAGTGCTTGCCTTGCGTGCATTCAATCTGGGTTCAATCCCCAGCGTTCCATATGTCCCTGAGCACCACCAGGAGTAGTTCCTGAGTGCAAAGCCAGGATTAAATCCGGAGTATCACCAAGAAAAACATGACCGGGGGGGAAAAAAAACACCAAAATAAATAAAATGGTAATGGTTGTAGCTTGAGTTATGATGGTATTAAGCACTGGTTTCCCTGGTACCTCATTCTCTGAATACCTTGGGGGAGTAGACTCATGAGTGTAGAACTGGCCAGTATCCCTGATGTTCCCTGGATCCTAGAGCAATGGTAGGGGACTGTTACTGTCACTGTCCTCTCATTGTTCATTGATTTGCTCCAGCGGGCCCAGTAACGTCTCCATCATGAGACTTGTTGTTACTGTGTTTGGCAGATCGAATACATCACGGGGAGCTTGCCAGGCTTTGCCATGGGGGCGGTACTCTCAGTAGCTTGCCAGGCTCTCTGAGAGGGGCAGAGGAATCGAACCCAGCTCGGCCAGGCTGGCTGTGCGCAAGGCAAACGCTCTACCACTGTGCTATCACTCCAGCCCGGTGGGGGACAGTGATAGGTATATCTCTGCAATTGACTATCCCTCTTGACCACAAGTTATAAAATGTAGGTTTGGATCTGGCATGAGTTCTTACCTATCATGTATTAAGTCTCTGCTGAGAATTAATTCAACACCCCTAGAAAGTTAGTGTGGAGAAATGAAAAGTCCTGAGTTGTGTAGCCCAGATAAAGCCTGGTCAACTCAGGCCTAGTAGAGAGTAATATCCAATCCTTCTCCCCCTCACATATACTATCCCTGAAAAGGCAAGTCAAGTCACTTTCCCTGAAATTTTTCAAAAGGTAACCAAGAAGGTAGCATCCTGATAATCTTCCTTTTCTGTTTGCCTTTCCCTAAAACTCTAACCCAAAATCACTTTTGTATTTACTTCTTTTTTTTCTTCTTTTTGGGTCACACCTGGCGGTGCACAGGGGTTACTCCTGGCTCTGCACTCAGGAGTTATTCCTGGCGGTGCTCAAGGGACCATATGGGATGCTGGGACTCGAACCTGGGTCGGCCGCATGCAAGACAAACTCCCTACCCGCGGTGCTATCTCTCCAGCCCCTTACTCCTCTTTTTTAGACCTTCCTCTCATCTTTGTTTATCTTCATTTTGCGAGAAACAGTTTTTTCAAATCTTCTATTTTTTTTTTAATTGAATCACTGTGAGATCCACGGTTGCAAAGTTGTTCATGATTGGGTTCCAGTCGGGGGATGTTTCAGTACTCATCCCTTCACCAGAGAAATACCTTTTAGATTTGTATTTTCTCCATTATTTTTATTTTTAGTTACATAAACTGCAATTACATGGTCATTGTAATATATTCAAAGAAAAGAAAATAAAGCAAGAGTTCTCAATTACTATCCCTTCTCATCCTTAGTCCCAAGGATTTGGCTCAAGTGGTAGAACACATTCTGTGCATTTTCAAGGTCCTGAGTTCAATCTTCAGAACCACATGGCTCTCTGAGCACTGTAGGGTCTCCTGAACACCACTCAGTATATGGCCACCACAACAATTTTTTGTTTGAGGGGGGAGGTCATACACCAAGCAATGCTCAAGGGTTACACCTGGCTCTGCACTCAAGAATTATTCCTGGTGGTGCTTGGGGGTACTATATGGGGTACCTAGTATGGAACTGAGGATGGCTGCATGCAAGGCTAACAGTCTACCCCTGTACTATTTCTCTAGCCCCCACAACATTTTTAAAAAACAATCACTCCATTCATCAGAGGTATCACTACTAATTAGTGAGACATACAGCTTTCCTGGTCTTTTTCTATGTATTTAAATATGTCTATGATAATACTAGGCATTGCCAGGCATTTGACATAAACAATGTGTTCCTGAAAATTGGATGTTCAGTGAGCACATATTACTTGAAATCGATTTCCCAATTACTTAAATAAGAACATTTTAAATGTATAACCCAAAACTGTACATCACAATTAAATGCATGTATGTGAAGCAGAGTACTTTGCTAGGTTATAAAATGCCCAAAATACTGCTTCCAGATTACCTAGTTCATTCGGTGTTTAGCGGATAGTTGCTTTGTGTATGGTGATGTGAAGATTGTACTGTAAAACCAGCAATCTCCAGAAGTAGACTCCTTGATTGGCATGTGATATGCTTTTTAAATAGTTTCACCCAATTCTGCCTATTTAAAAACTGCACTAATTGTACACTTGAGTTTGGATGACTCAAATGCTTACCCGTGTATGTTTTATTTATACTGCTCTATTGGAGAGATAGCTCAATGTACTGAAGCATATGTCACATGGTTGGGTCGTTTTCTATTTTTATTTTTTTTGGTTTTAGGGGCTACACCTGGTGTTGCTTAGGGTTTACTCCTGGCTCTGTATTCAGGGATCATTCCTGGCGGGGCTCAAGGGAACATATGCGATGCTGATAGAATCCAGATCACCTGCATGCAAGTGCCTTACCCACTGTACTATTTCTCCAGTCCTGGAGCATGTTTGTATGCAGCAGACCTGGATTCAGTCCCTGTCACTACATGTTCCCTCAAGCACCACTGGATCACTGAGCTAGGAGTAACCTTCAAGCAGTACTGGTTGTAGTCCAAATACTAAATTTAAAAAAATTAACAAACAATATGCTATATTGAGACCAAAGTGGTTATACAGATTGTAAAGCACTTGTCTTGCAAGAAGCTGACCCTGGTTCAAATGCCGGGCATGGCATATGGTTCCCTGAGCACTGCCAGGAATGATCCTGCACACAGAGCCAGGAGTAAGGCCCCAAAATAAAAAAAAAAAGAAAAAGTAAAATTTGTGACTGGAGTGATAGTACAGAGGGCAGGTAGGGAGTTTTTCTTACACTTGGCCAACCCAGGTTCAATCCCTAGCATCCTATACGGTCCCCTGAGCACCACCAGTAATTCCCAAGTAGAGAGTCAGGAATAACCCGAGTATTTCCAGGTGTGACCCGAAAGCTAAATAACAATAAACAAATTAGATGTTATATTGGAACATATATAGTTCAGCAGTAGAGCACTTATCTTGCATATATGAATGAATGGGTTTGATCTCTAATACTGAAAAAATAGAATAAAGTGCTGTATTGTTTATTATACATATTTCCCATATAGTCATTGACCAAAACTTTAGTATTTAGAGGTACATACATTTAAAATGAAGAATTTGAAAATCAAGAGACATTTTAAAGTAAAACATTATCAGGGAAATCTTCCACAATAAATGCCAGCAAAACTGAGAGCTTATGCCTTGAAATTTTTTTTTCACTTTAGAGAAAGAATAAGTATGGTGGTTTCATCTCAACAAACACATTCTACTGTGTACTTTTCCTTATTAAATATCTCAGAGAAGTTTTAATAGATGCATGGGAATCTGCCTCGTTTTTCTAACTCTTATATTGAATTGCAGAGTATGGATAGGTTGTCTTTTTTTTTTTTAACTATTTCCCTTTGGGTGGGCATTTTTTCATCGCTTTTGCCACTGTAACTAATGATTCACTAAAAGTGGACAGGAATCTGGGAAACTAGTCAGGGATTTCACTTGTTTGAAATCAAGGTTTCTTCTAGTTATCATCTCAAACTGCTATCAGCACAGTCCTGCAGGAAAAGAGAAGGGTTTTACCATTAATCCTTTTGCCGGATGCATACTGGTTCTGAAAGATGAGAACAGCAGTCTTCCCCCACCATGGTTATCCAAGTTTTCTTTTAGTAGTTTCAATTAATAGCATGAAAATATGCACAGTAAGAGTCTTGAGAACAAGAGAGAAAGATCACATTTATATAATTTTAATTGAAGTGAATTATTGGTATAGTTCTATTTAATTATAATTATAGTAAGTTTCTGACTGTGTTTATTTTATTTCAATTTTGACACGTGATTAACCTAATACATTAAAACTTAGTATGCCTCATTTATCAATTTAGCTTTGTAATAGCTGTGTATAAAGGGAAAAAATAATATATACTCACTGTTGGGTGCTGTCCTTGATTTGGGGCATTTCTTGGGGACTTAGAAGGGATCCTCCTGGGGGTAAGGTGGATTGTTGAACCATCATTGCCATTTTCCAGATAAGAGAAGGGCTGTAGGTTATGCCATCCAGGTTTGCCCCCATTTCTGTGCTACTCCAAAGCCCTTTTATTTCTTCTGGTGTACAAAGACTCATTTTTTAAGGATGGAAAGTGAAACCCACAGCTTCTACCTGACTCTGTAAAGCCCCTCATAACACCAGCTGCTCTGTCTTCCAGGTCCACCTGGTCGGACAGGTAACCGGGGGAAGCCAGGACCAAAAGGCAAAGCCGGGGCCATTGGGCGGGCCGGCCCTCGAGGCCCCAAGGGGGTCAGAGGTGCCCCAGGCAAACACGGCACTCCTGGCAAGAAAGGACCCAAGGGGATCAAGGGGGACGCAGGCCTCCCAGGTCCCTGCAGCTGTGGCAGTGGCCGAGCCAAGTCGGCTTTCTCAGTGGCAGTGACCAAGAGCTACCCACGGGAACGGCTGCCCATCAAGTTTGACAAAATCCTGATGAATGAAGGTGGCCACTACAACACATCCAGTGGCAAGTTTGTCTGTAGTGTGCCGGGAATCTACTATTTCACGTATGACATCACTCTGGCCAATAAGCACCTGGCCATTGGCCTTGTACACAATGGCCAGTATCGCATCAGGACCTTTGACGCCAACACAGGCAACCATGATGTGGCCTCAGGCTCCACCATCCTGGCCCTCAAACAGGGGGATGAGGTGTGGCTGCAGATCTTCTACTCAGAACAAAATGGGCTCTTCTACGATCCTTACTGGACTGACAGCCTCTTCACCGGCTTCCTCATTTATGCTGACCAGGAGGACCCCAATGAGGTGTAGATGAACAGACGGTGCCATGCCTCCCGGAGGGAAAAAATTTGTGGCCTGGTGCTTGCAGAGCAAAACCCCACAATTCACTGTGGGACTGGGAGCAGGAACTTTGAGATTCAAGCCAATTCCCTCTGCCTCTTTTTATTTTCCACCATTAAATCCAAGCTTGTGCATTCATCCTTTCATCTATGTGGTGACAAATTCATCAGTGTCTACTGTGTGAAGCGCCATACTGTTTTGAAGGTGCATCAGGGAACATGACAGCCAGAAACAGACTCTGTCCTGGTGGATTCTCATTCTTATGGGAGATAAATGTACAAGCAGTTTATTTACTACTTTAGGACAGAAATGCACATGCCATAGTCAGGAGGAATAGGAATAACAGGAGACAGGGAAGACATTAAAAACATTTTTTAGCTTTTGTTTTTTTTTAGTTGTCCTTACATCCAGTAAAGTCTAAAAATGTAAGCTATAGTGATAACCCAGGGGACTCTGGGAGAGCTCAGGGGCATCATATATAGTGCTGGGGGTAAAATTTAGATCTTCGGACTGGAGCAATAGCACAGCGGGTAGGGCGTTTGCCTTGCATGCGGCCAACCCGGCTTCGATTCCCAGCATCCCATATGGTCCCCTGAGCACTGCCAGGGGTAATTCCTGAGTGCAGAGCCAGGAGCAACCCCTGTGCATTGCCGGGTGTGACCCAAAAAGCAAAAAATAAATAAATAAATAAATAAAATTCAGATCTTCACACATTCAAGACATGTGTACTACATTTTTCCCATACCCTCAGCACTACACAAAGAGTATGCTTTTGTGGTACTTTATGGTTATCTGTATCTACATACAAATTACTTTAAGAAAAATAAATAAATCTATCTTGCAAAATTCTTCTGGATCTGGGGCTGGAGTGATAGTACGACAGGTAGGGTTTTTGTCTTGCACATGACCAATCCGAATTCAATCCTTGGCATTCCAGTAGGGTCCTCCAAGCACCTCCAGGAGTGATCCCTGAGCACAGAGCCTGGAGTAACCCCTGAGCACTGTCAGGCGTGCCCTCCACCAAAAATTCTCCTGGATCTGATTGGCAGGCCCCTTGATTTTATTAGCACTTTAGCAGAATTCCAAAGGGCTCAATGGCCTAAAGTGCATGCTTTGCATAGCAAGAGACCAGGCTTCAATTCAGGCACCTCATGGTTCCCCCAAACACTGCCAGGAGGAACTCCTCCCACTTCTCCAAGCACATAGCTGGAAATAACTCCTAGTTGAGTACCACCAGATGTGACTCAAAAAGCATAATAAACAAAAAAATCAATGCAAATTTACCATTCTTTCTGCGTTAGATTGAAGATCCACTTTGTCTACTCATTTTTTTATTCTCTCCTGATCAAATTTAATTTTTTTAAAAAGTACAATCTCAGGGCACTGAAGATCTGCCTTGGGAAGCATATAATAATACAAATCAAGCTGCTCCAGCTCCTTGCACTGGAATGCCGTGAAGAAAACGTTGTCACACTTTATGTCATGTTCTCACAAGTGTCTCACCTTTCACTTTATAAAAGCAAAAGCTTTACCTCCCACAAAGTGCCAGTCCTTGTATGAGAACACCACTTTCTGGAGCAGAGAAGTCCTTTGGAGGGACGGGTGTTGTCAACCAAGACGCGTGGTCAATTAGCACTTTTGAAATAATGCAATTTCTTCAGTCGTAGCACTTTCTGTCCAGGCTAATGATGGAGCTGGAACGATAGTACAGGGGTTAAGGTACTTATCTTGCAAGAGGCCAACCCTGGTTTGATCCCCACAACCACATATTGTCCTTTCAGAGCAATCCTGGAGCACATTACCAAGAGTAAGCCCTGGACCTTGCTGGGTGTGACACCCCCCCCACACACACACACAAAAAAAAAAAAGACTAGTGGTGAGGGTTATTTTGGGGTTTTATTTTATATATTTTTTGGTTTTGACCCACACCTAGAGATGCTCGGGGATTATTTCTGGCTCTACACTCAGGAATTACTCCTGGCAGGGCTCAGGGGACCGAATGGGATGCTGGGGAGGGAATTTAAGTTAGCTGTAGTCTCCTGGGTTTTAATTTTTAAAATAGCATTGATTTATAGAATTAGAAAAAAAATTCTGGCACACAGTCTTATAAATATCTATATATGCCACTTCAGTTTGATCTCCATGATTTTAGTTTCCATTCATACCTTTTATCTGAATTACTTCCATTTCTCTTCTGATAAACACAGTTTTGTTTTTATAATCAGAAAGTTTGTTTCTGACATATAAGTAGGATCATATCGTGTTTTTCCTTCTCAGTGTAACTTACTTCATAAAGCATAATGCCTTCCAGGTTCATCCATATTGTTGCCAATAGCAGGATTTTAACATTTTTTTAGTTGAGTAGTATTTATGTATATCTGTCACTGTCCTGTCACTGTCCTCCTGTTGTTCATCGATTTTCTCGAGCGGGCCCAGTAATGTCTCCTTTGTGAGACTTGGTTGTTACTGTGTTTGGCATATCGAATACATCACGGGTAGTTTCCCAGGCGGGCGAGATACTCTCGGTAGCTTGCCGGGCTCTCCGAGACGGGCGGAGGAATCAAACTCGAGTTGGCCATGTTGGCTGCATGCAAGGCAAACGCCCTACCCGATGTGCTATCGCTCCAGCCCATTTATGTATATCATGATCACGACCATCCTGTTATTCGTTGATTGCCTCGAGCAGACCCCAGTAACATCTCCTTCATCCTAGCCCTGAGATTTTTTTAAAAAGTGCCATATTCAAGGCTTTTTCAGAGTTAGGAGAATGAGACCCATCATTGTTACTGGTATTTGGCATATTGGGTACACCACGGGGAGTTTGCCAGACTCTGCCGTGTGGGCAGGTTACATTCAGTAGCCTGCCATTTTGTCCAAAGTAAGAATGGGATAATAAGGTGTCGCGCGGCTGCATTTGCGGCCGCGCGCTTCCGGGAGCTGGGTTTTATAGTCTCTGGGTCTTGGCCGTTGATAGGATTACAGGGCGCCAGGGGGCCAGTTGGTGGGTGTGACCACTGCCTACTGGAATTTGGAGGATCTGGGTGGAGGATGCTCAGCCCCGATCCGAGCATGCTTGGAGATCTCAGCCCCGGGACCCACATGCCTTTGTTCCTCTGCTGGTACCTTCATGCATGTGGAGAGTGGTCTCAGCTTGGTGGTGCCTGGTTCTGGAGGTCTTCAGCTGCCGGAGCCCTGGTCGGGGCGGGGAGGGAAGCTCAACCTGCTCCCTCCAAGGGGCCCCGGCAAGGACAGCCAGGCACGGGGGCAGGAGACTCTGTTATGTTTATAACACATCATTATCTATACATTTGCTTATGGGCAACTGGGTTGTTTTAAGCTTTTGGGTATTGTGAATTTTGCTGGTTTATTGCAAAATGGGGGTTCAGATATTTCAGAAGGTAAGGGTAAAGGTAAAGGCCCTCCCGTTGATCGTCGATTTGCTCGAGCGGGCCCAGTAACATCTCCATTGGAGACTTTGTTGTTACTGTGTCTGGCATATCAAATACTCTCGGTAGCTTGCCAGGCTCTCCGAGAGGGGCGGAGGAATCGAACTCGGGTCTGCCATGTTGGCCGCTTGTAAGGCGAACGCCCTACCCGCAGAAGAGGCCAGGTTTAAGCTGAATTCTGAATCAACTGAGAGAGAGAGAGAGAGAGAGAGAGAGAGAGATCTGAGGGGGGACCTGCAAGGGTAAGTGCCATGAGTAGGAAAGAGCTTGATATATCCAAGTGACTGCCCAGTGGAGTGGAGCCGAAGGAATAGATGGGTGTCAGTAGGATAGTTGGGGGCCCAAGTTTGATCCGTGGCACCCCATATGGTCCCCTGAACCCCAGCAGGAGTGATCTCTGAGCACAGAGCTAGAAGTAAGTCCTGAGCACCGCCAGGTGTGACCAAAAAAGCTCCCTCACCCCCGCTAAAAAAATTAAAAAGGAAAAGGAAAAGATGGGCATTGGTCCATATGAGGCCCATCTGTTTTGCTGACTTTTATGGGGGTTGTGTTCCTCCCTCCCACAGAGACTTGGGAGATGGGCCCTGTTCAGATATTGGCTGGAACAAACAGTATCTTTGTTTGGCAGCCTATTCTCTCCAGCAGCCACTTTGAGGGGGACTAGGGTCATCCAAGGGATGCAGTACTAATCTGTTAGAAATGATGTTGGTATTTATCCAAGTGTTTTTAGGCCAAGGTTGACAGGCCTCACGGGAAGGAGGCTCCATGGAGCCTGGTGAGCTTGGGTGAGGAGAAAGCCGGGAGAGTCTGCAGCTCTGATTACTTAGATGTAGAGAGCCACATATACCCTAACAGGCCAGCCAGTCTCTAAATGGGCCTCAGGGACCCGCTGACAAGTGGGTGTAGTGACACATGAAGTATCATGAGTGTGAGGTGCTTCTAGTGCTCATGTCTGAAATTGTTGAATGAGACGCTCATCTCAGGCACACAGTTTACGGGCGTGCCAAAAATTTCCAGTAATCGGTGCAACCAATTACTTTTGTGTATTATTTAAGCAACCCAGAACTAATGCAAAAAAACAAAACAAAACAAAACAAAACAAAAAACAACCTCTATGAGGAACAAAGTATCAGAGTTTTAAGAAACAGTAGGAAGAAAAAAATTTTTTAAAAGAAAAGAAACAGTGGAATTCTACTGGTGCTGGGATTGATGTGTGCTGGGTTCAGTTGAAGTAGATCAAGGTTCTTTCCCCTGCCTGCTCCCCGTACCCCACCCCCATCACCCCCATCTCCACCAACCACCACCACCCTGGAAATGGAAGCCTTCGCTTCCTGCCTGCCATTCTCCCTCATGCCACAAGGGGGAGAACTCAACACACAAACCTGCATCCTGATGCTTGGGTTGCCCCAGCCACCCTGCATGGACCCTTCTGGTTTTTGAGACTCAGGGCTAAAGGGGATGGGGGCTGGAGCGAGAGATTCTGGCGCAGAGTGTTCAATTATTCTGTAGCTGTGACCTTCCACTGGGCCAAAGCCAAAGCGTAAGAACAGGAGAGTGGCTGGTGTCTTCTAGCATTTTCTGTTGAAGGAACTTCACATCCATTAGGAACTGTAGAGAAAATTGGTCTCCTGCAGGACTCAAGTGGTTGTCTAGGAAACAGG